TGCAGCTTTCCTGCCCCTGCCACCTGCACCCCCCCCCCACCTCCATACTTGCAGATGAAAATCAGGCTGTATTCGCTCATGAGTTATGGATCACAGCATGTGGAATCACGGCTCCTGCTGGACTACACAGAAGTATTGGTGCTGCTAATTGCCCACACAGGGGACAGAGTTTCCATGTGCTCTATGCCCAAGAGAGAATGCAGCCCGAGCCAGAGCTGAGCTTGACAGCAAGGGAGGGAAAGGGGCAGAGGAATGGGGAGCAAAAGCTGCAGAGACGAATGGGGTAGGCAGATGTTTTGGGTCTGAGTGGCTCTGACCCAGGCTCAGGGCCAGAGTCAGAGCTGCACTAGCTGTCTGCCCCATCCCCTGCTACTTTGGACACAGAACTAAGGTAAGGAACATCTGCTTCTTCCCTCCCCTCCCCCTCCATGCTGGTTGGGGCAGAAACCTAATCTTAGATTTGAGTAAGTATGGTAATTACAGATAATGACTGTAGAATATTAATATGACAACTAAAGGAGCACGGAACAGATCTGTGTACAATGATTTTATATGTTTATGGACATCTTCCTGAGATTACAAAGGATTTTTGCATACCTGTCAAGCAGATAAATTAAGTCATTGATTTTAACCAGCTGAAAAGGAAGGATCAGGTTATAAACAAGAAATTCAATAAGGAAAGCCATCTTATATGTGGCTTTCCACCATTCAAAATAAACATTAAGTGTTTTCTTTCGTTTTCAACAGCTTGTCCTCCAGCACAGGGTTCTGTTGTGATTGCTGGCTTAGCCATTATGGCCTTTGCAGCATTGATTTCCTTGGCTTATGTTTGTATTGGTAAGTAGAAATGAATATTTTACCTTAATTTTTCTAGTATTTGAATGAGAATGTCAAGAAAAAGAACACATCTCTAAATTTAGATGTTTTGCAGGTGCATGTAAGGGTTAAAAACAGCATGTGGTCTGCTAAGTTGCATTGTTTTAAAAAAAGATACAGGGCCTGTACACTGAGTAGAGGTCTTGCTTTTCTCTTTTTGCCCGTTTCCCTCTTCTCTGTGGCACCCTTCCTCTGCAAAGTCCTTTCCCCTGTTGAATGGTAAATACTCTGAATATTTTCTCAAGTGAGTATTATGATTCACATGTGTTATACAAAGCCAAGCTGCCAAGGAAGTTGGTGGCCAGCAAGATAATTATAGAACTTATTTTGTGGCAGTATCTGGCACTGTGTGTGTGTATGTGTGCTTTCTTTTTTCTTTTAGTTTTTTTTTAAATTCCAGTCTTATTTCCCGGATTAATCTTCCCATGCAGTACTGGTATCAAGTTAATGGGGTCAGAAAAATGCCTTACCTTATGCACTTTTGGAACATGGGGTATAGGGAGCAAACTTATTGAGGTAATAGACCAAAGGGTGCATTAAGACATGAATATCTAAAATGATTCACATGGAATGTTAGTACATAGATGCAGAAGGAGATTTTAGCGTTGGCATGAGAGAAAAACTGCTTTTTCCCCCTTGTGTATTAATAGATGTACTTCTGGAATGTATTCTGCTCTTGAATATATGCAGGCTGTAAAAGACTGAGGCTGACGCTGATCATTAACTATTAAATACTGCATAAGACTAAAAGACTTGGTTTTACTTTAATAGGAGGACTGTGGAAAAACTGCAGTGCCTAAGTTATTAGCTGAGAAATTGCTACTTCTCAGCTTCAGTCAAAGTTACAAGACTTATTTTGCCTTGGCTGGGAGCTGAAAGATGAAAAGGACTTCAAATAGTTAAAAAGTCACTCCTGTAAATAGAGTGGAAAGGGTGTGGAGAACCCACTGACAACTGACAGAAAAGCTTGATGCAGCAGCATCTACAAGGGCAAGTTCCATGTGGAAGTGTGGGGGTTTAGAGCTTAGTGTGAGAGCGCTGCATTTATATATTTTGTGTTAAAATCCTATTCTCTCATATTTCTGTGTCAACAGTAGGAGAAAATAACTACTTTGGTTTGAGAGAGCCAGCTGGTCACAGGCTCCCAACAGGAAGGTGCTGGTGAGGGTACTGAGGCATGCTCCAGTGTGAACTGTTAAGTACCTGCAGCTGATCCAGGGTGCTCTTCCCCTGGACATGGCCTAAAAGAGAAGAAACATAGGAGTCCATGCAAGGAGAAGAGAAGGCATCCAGCGTAACTTCTGAAGGCATTCACTCAGACCAAAAGTGACAGTCTGAGTCTAGCTTTCAAACAGTGACACAGGCAATATCTGTTGACTTTGCTGGAAATTGCCTTTGCATACCTACAAGTAGAATTATTCTGAAGCTGGGTAGCAGTGGTCTGACTTGGTTAGCCTTTCTCTTATGGTTTGATGTCACTAGACTACCTGAGTGAATCTTACTAACAAGGTTTAGGGAGGTGGTTGGGTGAATTTTATTGACAGATTCATGCAGTAGTTGGCCAAACCAATAGAAAATGTATCATTATTAAGCACAGCTCCCTATCTGTCCATGCAAAATTTTCATACTACAGTAGTACCTGTTTTATTTATGAATCTTCAATTACTTTAGCTGAATTCAACACATGAAGCATAGTTTCTGTACAGACAAAGTGCAGTCCCATAAAGTTCAAAGATTGTTGAAAGTTGTTCTGAATAAGCAGAGCTGAGACTATAATTCATTTTCATTTGTTTTCCTCTGAATTTTGTAATTGGTAGATCATTTTTCTTGACTTAAATGTTGAATTCATTTGAATTTTAGGTTCCAACACGAAAGATCATCAACCTCCAAGGGTAAGCTTAAAATTAATAAATTTGGGGTGACTAGATGGCTCAGGGGATTGGTAGTGAGATACTGAGCCTTTCTCCGCTAGTTCGAATTCAGTCCAGGTTGGTAGCAAGCAAAAGTTACTGCTATATGACAGCTGTCCAATGGTCTGTGTTAAGTGAATTGGTGGCCTTAGCCCTGTTCCTAATATGTCTAGACCAACCACAGTAATTGAATCCCATGTGGGTAATGTACATGACAGGCTGAGAACTGAAGTGGGCATGGAGACAGAACCATCTACCCAACTGCAGGTTAGAAGGACCATGTCATAGCTGGGAGTCCATGAGAGATTGTGGTTCTTTTTGCCATTCTATACTTCTTGTGTTGATTGATAGAGACCTTCAGTTATTTTTTTAGAAGTATGTGTTTCAAAGACTTTATAAACAGCAATTCTCCATTAAATGACTTGTTTAAAAAATCCTAAATTTCAATTTTTTTGCTTAGTTTTTTTTCCAACACTAGTGACATTATAAAGATTATAAAAGGTATAATATTAATGTCATTAACAAAAGTATTTAAGAACAGGAGAGTGAAAAATCTATCTGAAAGCAGGGTTACTGTTTTTAGATCACACAGAATAAATGTCATTTCTTATTATTGGAGGATGTAGTCTTGGTGTTACAAGCCAATGGCATTTTAAATCTGCAGTTGTTATAGCCCTGTGCAGCATTGCCTGTAGGTGAATGTTTGTGAACTGGCTATTTTTTTTAGTTTTCCAAGACCAAGTTAAAGGGGCACAACTCTGGCAGGCCAATCATGCAACAAGAAAATAGCAAGTAGGGGTTAAACCAGGGATGGGCAATTATTTTGGCTAGAGGGCCACTTAATGACTTTTGGTGAGCTGTCGAGAACTGCAAGGGTGCACCCCTTATGAAACTGCTAAGCCCCACCCCTTGACGGGTCCTGGTTACCATTTTGGGATTGGAAGTCCCACCTCTAATCCCTGACCTTTGCCATCAGAACTCCCTCCCCTTGCTCTGGAAGTACTCCTCTGGGGAGGGAGACTTGTTATCTTGGAACTAGAAATCCTGCCCTGCCACATGGTCCATGACATGAGAGAGCCCACCCACCCAACACCAAACCTTGCCCTACTCGCTGCCATGTTGATTCCAGAATCTCTTGTCCCCATCATGTGGACCCTGACATGAGAGGATCCATCCCTTGACTGGGAACACTTGCCCTCCATCTGGTTCTGGGGGGTGTGCATGTGGATATGGTAGGGTGTGTCTTGCAGGGGTATGGGGTATATTTGTGTTGATATAGTGGGGTGTGGGTATTGTGGTGTGGGTGGGTATTATAGAGTATGTGGTTGGGTTGTTGGTGTGTAGGGCAGGCTGTATGTGTTCATGTGGCGGGCTGCCCAAGCACTAGGTCCTGGAAGCTGGCCAGGGTGGATAGGGAGGGAAGGGGCAGAGCTTGCCCGGGTGGTGTAGGTGCAGTCCACCCCACCAGCCTGCGGCTGCTCCTTGGAACTTTGCATTGGGCTGAGCCCTTCCCACACCTACCCGGGGCAGTTCACCCTGCACTTCTGCCTCTAACCACCCCATGCTCCTGCCTGCATCTGCCCTGGCCCCTGCTCTGGCTGTCTTCTATCCCCTCAGCTGCCCACAGGTAGCTGCTGATCGTGCCAGCCAGGTGGAAGGCAGCTGGGAGCTGTAGCCCCCAGCTGTAGCTTCCCCATCCCACTCACTACCACTTCCCCCAGCAGCTGTCACTTTCCCAGCCACGGGGAGTCCCGCACAATGGAGCTGGATTGCCTAGCTGGCCTCAGCCATCATTCCTGCCTGGCATGGAGAGAGGGGCTCAGGCATATCCTGCCCTCTCTGTCTGCTGCTCCCTTGCCTTGTGCACCACAACCCACAGCCCAGTCAGCTGATGGGACTCCCTGCTGCAAGGGAGACCCTGCTTAATGTGCACATTTAATGCTGGATAGCAACCAGCTATCAAATTGGTACACATTTTTGAGGTCTGTCTTATTTATAGTTAGCTGGACCATTTTATGGGATGATGGGTACTTTGCACATATAACTAGTTTCAGTTAATTGCAGTTGACCAATTAATTGTGCAATATCTGTAGAAGGGGCCTTAGTTATTTAAAAGCATGGCCCAATTTGGATATTGTGCTGAAGTTCAGAATGAAATCCAAAAAAACCCAAAAGCTTGAAAACTAATTGCAGGGTTAGTCTCTGAAAAGCTGCCTCCTTTTTCTTAAGCAATTTGCAATCAGTCTTTCATTTTTGGATCTTTCTGCACTGGATATTTACCTGTATCCCACAACAGTTTACTAGATAGTACTGCAGTGTAGGGTCTAGGTTAGTGATTCTCAGCTGGGATGCCATGGGGTGCCATGTAATTTTAGTGCTGTTGTATGTGCAAATGTGATTCACAAGATAAACTCAGAGGGTGCCTATACACGTGCATTGAGGCTGCTCCGACGTGCTGCAATTACAGCGTGTCAAAACAGACTCCAGCATCATGGGCATCAGCATCCTCACACTGAAAATGGCAGAGGGGACATTTTAACTAAAGCTTGCTCAATGAGCTTTAGTTAAAATGTACCCACCACCGGTTTTCAGTGTGGGGACACATAGACATGACACTTGGGGCGCTTTAATTAGTGGGACACCAGGGCCCTTTAAAAATTCCTTCCCACCAAGCACATCTATAAATGCTCAGAAATTTCAAATAAGAACACAGTGTTAAAAACATCCTGACTTGGTATGGTCTTTCTGAAGTCTTTGCTACAGAAGAATTCCCGTAGTATTTTTCTACAGTCAAAAAGTGGGTGAAAAGTAAGTGCTGGCATTTTTGGAGGGGGTGCCTTGAGCTGAACAATGGGTGCCTTGAATTTGAAAAGGTAGACAACCATTGATCCAGGTAGTAATCTGATCCAGGTAGTAATCTGTGCCTGCAAACACGTGGGGGACAAAACTGGTGGGAAGACGGGAGGAAACAAAGGCAGGGTGAACATCTGGACTGTTTATATGTTGTCCATCTCCCTGGAGGGGCATTCAGAAAGTATTGCTGTGGTTTGAAGAGATTTATAAATGGACAGTCAGTTTCCATTCAAATCAAAGCTTTTATTCTGTGTAATCTAGTGGTTGAGGTAACCTTGCTATCAGATGACTCCACTTCGTATTGTTCGTGGAACAAAATTTTAAACCAGTTCTTTGACTGAACGGGAGCCATTCTGAATGGGAGGGGTGGGAGCTGTTTGTTTCAGACACGTTAATCCTTTCCTATTTTTCCATGTTATTTCTGCCTTGGGCTAGTTTCTTCCAGATTAAATGCATACATGTTTGGAATCTCTCCTGAGGAGATGATACTCTCTGCTTGATTTAACTTTGGTGCTGCTTGCTTTCTGCATCCTTAACAAAATTGAAGGAAAACTGAAGAAAAAGCGAAGCAGCAGTTGCCATTTCACTTTTTAGAAGTAGTGTCTGCATACTTGTTGCCATTTCAAAATCTCTTGAGAGGAAAATGAGATTTCTTGTGGGGCAGGAATAACATGAAGATAAAGCTGGTCTTGACAGACTGATTCCCCTCTTCCCCATAACCCTGGTTGTTGATCATATTAACTTTCAGCTTCTTCTTTCATTTTGTAGAATCACTACTTACTGTATATGTCAATTAGAGTAATTTAACTGTGGCGAGCCAAAAATAGACATGAAGGCTTTTTATACATATATATATTTTTAAATATTTTGCAGAAATCTGTAGAAGAACCACTTAATGGTAGGTGGTGAAAAAATCTTACGTTTAATAAAGGGGGTTATGTGAGGCCTTTTGAAGATGGGTCAGAAGCATAGTTGTTAAACTTAGCTCTGTCACATGTGGGAAGGGTGTTTCAAAATGTTCAGCTTCCTGAGTCAGTAAGAACTGGTTCCTGAGTCGGGGAAATGCCTGCAACTTTGGGCAGTTTATACCTACTAGCTGTTGGCATTGCTTCCTAAAATATTGCTTTCTACCCTGTCTGCTTTGCCAAGAGGAAAAGGGATGTCCCTTTGTGAAATCTGTGGTTCAGCCAATACTCCTCATGGGGGCATTTTAGGGGATAAGTAGGAGCCTTCAGAGTGGTCTGAGGCAAAACTTCTCATTCCAATTCATATTACTTCTTCTCCCTGTAGTTTGGTTAGGGAGGATTTCATTACAGTAGTGAGAAGCTCTGATAGTGCCTGGGTGCAGCAGGGGAATTTTGCAGTGGAGGAAAGGGCGCCTGAGATGTCTTCATTAATTGGCATGCTGGGAAGTAGTACTGACTCATTATCTGCTTTAATACTAATCTGAATACTAATCGTGAAACATGTCTAACTTGCTTGGCTAATTACTAATCCTTTACTTGGCTTTTAAAGATGCGAAAGGAGTGATGTTGGAATGATGGTGAGTTGAACTTTACCTGTGGCTTTAGTGGGGTTTTTACTATTATTAATACTTGGAAATTTGGAAGTTAAAAATCACTACATACACGCAATTCAGGATATGGATTTTTAAAAAAAAGTACCAGCCTTGATAAAGTGTTACTGCGTTGTACTAAAATACTAGAGATTACCTGAAGAAATGTGCTTGGGGGGTAGTGTTTGTACTCTTTCTTTGTTCTTTATAAAATGCTGCATATAGAAATCTAAAAGTCTTAAAATACTAGGAGTTTTCCCTGCTGTTTTTATCTTGGCAATAAGAGAAATGTGCAGTTTTAGCCTCCATGTTTTGCTGGAGGTCTCTTTGGCAAGACCCAGACATGTAAAGGCTGAGAGCGCTCACCAGGAGGGTTGGTGTTGTTAAATTACAAACCACAAAGGAGCTCTTCTTGCCCCTGAGCCAGTACGTGTTAACAAAAGTCAGGTTTGATTAAACCCTTCTGTACATAATTGGATTTTACTTGCTGCAAAATGATTTTCCTAATTTTTCAGTCATCTTATAGCATCTTGACCAAAAAAACTCAACCTAGTACATGAGATCTAAATAGTGACTGTAACCTATCCAGAGAGCAGTGTAAAACATTAATCTGTTAAAAAAATGTAAATTTTCTGTTTTACTGTCCAATCTGCTGTAATGATTATGAACAGTAGTACTACAAAAATCATTTTAAAATGACTCCTACATTTGGCAATGTCCCTTTTAAAAACCCATTTTTTCCATTCTAAGCTTTTATTTTGAGAATGTGTGAGGAATTATTTCGTTTTAGTTTTGAGGCGAAAAATTTTCAAGCAACACTTTTTACATTTTTAGTTTTCTATTTGTTTTTACTAGTATTATTTTTAAAAATGAGTACCGTAATTCACATTTTAGTCTTAACAGTGAATTCTATTTTCTGTTGCCTTGTTTTTGTAAGTAAGAAAAAACAATTATGACCTTGTAAGTCAGAAACTTTGATATGGAACCAGGCGTTTTATACCATCTTGGTCCAATTTTAAGATTTCTTCCGGTTGAGAATTTTTTTAGGACTTGTGGATTTGCCATACTCTCCACAGATAGATAGAGTTTACTTGTGCCTGTGCTCTGGGATTCTTGGACCCAAATTTTCAAAACACCTCCTAAACTATGTGGCCCAACTTTCAAAGATGCTGACCATCTACAGCTACCCCTGACAAAAGAGGCTGCCTGACGCCTCTGAAAATAAGGCTGGGCTATTTTTAGGCCCCCTCATGTGAAAATACAGGCCTTCTATAGTTGTCTTGTGTTCTTACTTTTCTGCTAATCTGTTACCCTTCTCTTTCATTCACCACCCATATGAGCAGTACTTGACAATGAGCGAGCATATTTTTAGTAGTTGACACTAAGCATATTTTACTGCTCCTGGAGACTGTGCACAAGTTCAAGAGGACTGCCAAATCCTGAGCCTACTACTACCTAATCAAAATATTCACTCTTGCTAGCCAAAAAAGGAACCAAGGAGTTCTGAATTTGTATAGTGCTTTTCTAATCAATTTTATAGTGTATGACATGTGGAAAGCATGGATTGAAGCTATCAGTCAGTGACATTTGTAACTAACTCTTATTTTACTGATAAAAAATTTAATCAGGCTTCAAAACTGTCTTGCATGCTAGTTACATTCATTTAATAGTACATTCCATCCTTTGCTATGCTTATTATGTGATTCACACAACTACACAACAAGATCTGTTTTCTAAACCAACATGCATCTGTTAGTGTGGTTCAAAGAATAAGGGAACCAGCATTCCTTAGGGTGATAAATTCTACATCAGTCATTTGGCATGACTGAAGGTAGTGAGAGTAGAAGTCTCAGAGGAAGGGTCTGTAACTCCTTCAGCTGTTAACACTTTTATTTTTTCCTTGATAGTGACCTAATATAAAAAGACAGACAATATTTCTGTTCCGTTGGCTTTCTTTTTTAATCTGTTATTAAATTTGAATCAAAGAGCAATAGAATCGGTGCAATAGCCTTTCACTCCTGCTAGCCAAAGTTGGAATTCTACTTTAGGACATAACGTTAAAAGGCATTGTTAGGTTTCTCCCAGGATCCTATTTGTGCATGTCAGAAATCTTCACAACATCTACATTTAAGAACCTTCTGATATTGGGAAGCGTTTTAAAGCTATGAAGGTCAATGAGAAACACAATTCCCAGTGACTCAAGCAAACAGTTAGTTGTCTTACTGCCATTTCTGTCTTTTAAAAATCCCCCCGCGAGAAGAATAGTGATCTTTTTACAAATCAGACCTTGAGACAGTGCCAGAGCTGTTCAGGGAGCTGAATGGCAGCTGCCTGTACTCCACCTAACTCAAGACTATGCCATCCTTCCCTCATTTTTCTAAGCAAAAAACTTGCCTGCTGTAAAGAAAAAATCAGATAGCTAATGTATGAATTTTGACAGGCAGTACAAATGACCTTGCTAATTGGAATGTTCTTGTATAATAACTTACTGTTCTGTGATTTATGTTTCCAGAATAACTTGTAGAAGGTGATGGAATCTGCTACAGAGATGGTGATATGTGGAAAAGAAACACACTTGTTCATACACCGTGGCCTTGACGATGCACTGCTCAAAGAGAAGAAAATCAGGAAACTAGTTGTTTTGCATGTGTGGAAAAAGTGCTGAAATGATTTCCATGATGTAATTTTATAGTCACAGCAGCTTAGAGAGAAACATGTGTTGTATACCCACATGAGTTAATACTTTTCTGTTTTTGGTTTGTGTTGGGTGGGCAAGTGTGAGCATACAAAAAGTACTCTTTGCCTACCACAAGATGCTCCCAATAGTGCCAGTGTTAGTGGTATCCTTGTCAAAAAACCCATCACCAGTCACTGCTTTGAGAGTGGGCCAGACCAGGCCCAAAGGCAGTAATAGCATTTAAACTATTAGTATTTTTATTTGTGTGCATGGGCAAGGTAAGTTCATGCTTTTATAGTATAAATGGGATGGTGGTTATCGTACAAATATTGCTCCTCCCACTTTCAGCAAAACATTAGGAAAAAATTGTTCTTGTAATTACACACACACAATGACATCAACAAGAGCTTTATTCCCAAGCTTTTTTTAAAAAAGACTATCCAAGTCATCCTTCTCCCACATGCTAGTAACTCCTCTGTATAGACAGTAGTCACGTGTGCTTTGGTGAGCAATATTTCTTAGTCCAATGAGAGTTTTCTGTGCCTCTTTTTGTATTGTTTGATTCAGTAGTACTCAACTGTTAGAGCCAGATTCAGCCCAGGAGTTACAGATTATTGATTCCCATGCTGAATGTGGCCCTTAATGTTCATACTGTACAGTGTGTGGTACTGGGACAAATCTTAGGCTTTTTCTTAACAAGCTGAAATTTTAAAACTGACTGATGTTTCTTCAGAAGAATAAGAATCATTCTCTAGCAGTAATGCCACATTTCAAAAGAGAGAGTTGGATTTTTTTTGCCAAGAGTACACGTGTAGAAGCAGAAACTAAATTACAGTTCATAAGTTTGTGATTCCACTGGTCTTTCACAAACAGTCTGTTTCAAGTAAAAAGTAGCAGCAGCTGATGTATGCAAGTGTCACAGATAAAGAATCAATTATAAGTTATGTAGAGTCAGGTCTTCATGATTTGTGCATTTCAAGGGACCTTCTCTTTTTTAACCCATTTCAACAGTTTTCCCAGAATAACTTATAAGAAAGCATCTTTCTCCCTCATGAGAACAGTTTGTTTAAAAGTTCTTAACAATTGCCTCTGTTTATGCCATTATAGGACAGTTTGATGAAATGTCATCATTTAATAGAATTTTGAGACGCACATTTCTGTAGGTTCCCTGTGGTTTGACAAGGTTAAAAGCCAGAATGTTTGGTTGATGCATTACATTCAGGTGGTATATTTACATTGTAGAGCCTTTTATAGAAATCCATTCCAAGGACTCGGGGGCATGTGGCAAATAGATACAGGGACCTTCCTTTAAATGGGATTAACTTGAGCAGGTTGGGGAAGTCTGATCCTATAGTCTTCACACACAAATAATCCCAGTGCACAGGCTGTAAGGAAACCCAAGATGCAGCCCTCCTGGGATATCAGTGAGATTAATCATATGTGTCACAGTTATTTATGTGAGTACATGTTTAAGGACTGGGCAGCATTTTTCATTGAAGGATCTGTATACATTTGTTTTACATCCATATGCAAATGCTTTGGTTTGGCCTCCATCATTGTAGCAATCCATATACATCTGGGAGACACTTGATCATTAATGGGAGTCAGTACAGGGATTTCACTGCCATTTCCAGCTCATCTTCAGTTATGGATTTCCCTCTTGTGATTTATAGGCTACAAGTTCTGCAGTTCACTGCTTTAGTAAGCTTTGAAAACCGGAATGCTGTTGTGATTGTTTTGTCTTAGCAAACTGGTATGCTTAGTTATTGTAAAGCTATTTGTATGTGGAAGGGCAGACTGCAGCAGAATCACAAGTTTTGTAGCCTCTGTTGTGGTGAGGCCAAATTCTTTTAACAGATTATTTAACTGACTCTGTTCCTCGTTCTGTTCATGTGCACTAATTGTTTTAGGAAGTGAAAAACCCACCATGCTGCTGTGTGTAAGGGCTCTGCTTTGGGTTTCTGTTAGGTACCAGTTAAAAAGTGTGTTATTTTCAGAAAGTCAATTAATTAACATTTCCCCACCAGTAATTTAAAAACCAAAGTTGTTTATGACTGTGCGATTCCAATTTTTGTGTATATATTAAACCAAATCCTCTCTATTTGACACTTTGAGTCTTTGCAATCTTTACCCAAAAAGACATTTTTATTTATGAAGCATAATTTTTGTAAATATTGTGCTAATATAATACTTAAAATAAAACCATTTTAAATTGTTTTTGTGAGTCTTTTCTTGCCACAGACATCAACTGTTTTAACATCATCAGAAAGGAATTGTTTCAAGGAGTGTTGATCTATTTTTTTTTCTTTTATCATAATAGCTGTGTAAATTGCAAAAGTGCTTTAAACAATGTAAGTTGCCACAAACATTTCTATCTCAAATGTAAAATCACTACAAGAGAAGTAGCTTAGATCTTATTACTCTTGAGTATGACCTGGGACATGTCTCAAAACAGCTTATAAATTCCACTTGACAGGGAGGAGGTAACTTGCTCCTTATATGTTAGACTGAGCTCTGAACATGGAGCTTGTTCAGCTGCTGCCTTGCCTCCGTACTGAGATAACGGCCAAGGGAGGTGATTAGAAAAGCTTTACACACACCACAGAGTTAATAATGGGAGGGTAGTTCAATCTTTATGATTCTGCACAAAGATGCAACAAACAAGTTTTAAGTCTGAACATCAGCACAGCAATGGGCCATCTGGTAAGAGACATTAATCACCTGACAAAGGGGCTGGCAGCCCTCACCTGGGTTATAACATTGAGCATGTATCCCTGGAGTCTGGTGTCCGTTAAAACTAAATCTTCTAATTATTTAAATGAGTGCTAATTATTTGGAAAGGCAACTTTTAAACTATGTTAGTTAAGCAAGTCTCTGAGAAAGAGGAGGATTTTCCCAGTGGCATCAATACATCTTCCTTGAAGTTATCCATATGTAAACTGTCCCATCCCCCTCTATGCCTGTTAAAAGCAGCTCACTGGATATCTAAGAGTTAGCAATTCAGGACAGCAAGAAAGGAGGCGTATGACTTCGTAGCCTAGCAATGATGGCACCTGCTCTGCATGTGATGACAAGTTCTGGATTTTGCCCCAGGATACATTACATATTTTTAATGAACTGCTGTTGTAAAATGCATAACAAATCTGAGCAGCAGAAGTGGGAACCCAGACTAGCCCTACTTCCAAGGATGGAATGCAAAAGTTAGCTTCCTGGTTCAAATTTGGCTCCCAAGAGGTCTACACTTCAGCTGGAAAACACAGCTCAGCTCTCGTCTAGTGGATGTTGGTCAAACTGGATTCTAACATCGGCATACCTGAGTTCCAGTAAGTAACCCAGTGCACCAGAAGAGAAGACCAGTTAGAGAAATATTCCTCAACCATACTAGTTAAAGAATCTGGTCCAGTTTGCCAAGTTGGCATGTCTAGTAGAAGTTTTCCTATTGTACAAGAATATCTCTGTTCTGAATGAAACTTTCTTGTTTGATCTATGAGTGCTGTCTTGCACACTGATCATGGGATGAAGGGAGACCAGGCTCATGAATTTTTCCCTCCATTCTGGGTCACTGAGGCTGAGACTAAAATGGTAATGCAATTGTCAGTGGCAGGCACAGAGAGGCTGTGCATGTGGCAGAGGTTGACCCACATGCCAGACTTAACCTTAGTGCCTTTCAAGCCTGGCTGTGGATGAGGGAGACACCTTCCGAGCATGAAGCTGAGATGCCCTCTGGGTCCTGAAGGGCTTGGTGAAGGTCCCTCAGTGAGATCTGAACCTACTCCTCTCAGCCTAAAAGGGATGTCCAGTGAAGCTGTTGGTGATGTTTGTTATTCATCTGTCTGTGGAATAGTGGGCGAGAGCCAAGCAGTCACAGTGGATCTTTTCTATATTACTTAGCCAGATAAGGTGCCTGAAGTGTTCATCCAAAATTACTGCCCAGGGGCTCTGTAACCTTCACCAGAGTCAGAAAGTTAATTTGCCGGTGCATCTTCCTAAGCTTCATTTCATTTGAGCTAAATCTTCTCTACATCCATTTGATGGTGAGAGTACTTTGACCTGCCGTCTGAATAGAACCGGCTCTTCCAAAAGTCTCTGTGGCTGTTGTCAAAACTAAGGGAGACAAAGGTGCAGATTGTCGTACGTTCAGTAAGTACGTTCAGATTGTCTAAACAAATGTCAGGCTACGTAAGCCTACTAGGAGCTTGCTGAGCTGGAGCTATGTATGCTGCCACGGTAGAACTGTAGTTTAAGATTGCCAAGGTAGAACCATCTGCTGTGACTGGGAGTCATCCCATCAATGCCTCCATGTGGCAGCTGTAGTGCCTGCTCCCCCTGGAGCTCAACACATACCATTAATGAACGCCATCCCATAGCAGACACAGTTGGAGGGGTAGGCCTATTTGCCTTAAGGCCAAGTAGTGTCATGCCTCCAGATGTATGGAGGAGGTCACCCACAGTGCAAGTGGGGACAGTTACTCAAAGGGGGAAAACATGAAGCTAACAGAAGTTTTAACTCTTGATAACTACTTGACTATCCAGAGCATAACAGCTTCAATGGGAAGGCCTGTCAGTCGATACCGGTAAAATGCCTTGTGGTTAGTTAAGCAGCATCCTTAGGAAGTAATGGAAAGGTGTTTTAAAATTGCTCAGGAGCAGAAGGGTGTTTAATCTTTCCTGAATGCTCTCACCAGAAGGAAGGTGGGGGTATGCGCGCGTGTGCGTGCGTGTGTCTGTGGGGGGGGGGGGGGGACTTTTTAATTAGGCTGTGCCAAGAAGAACAGTTTCAAGGGAAGGAAGGGAGGCATTGTTTCTTCCAAAATGCACTGTGGCATCATGGTTACAGTTATCTCTGAAGGAGTGAAAGGAGTTCAAATCCTCTCTGGGAAGGCAAAGGAAAGATGTGGTGCTTGCCTCAGACAGCCTTTAAGTAATGAGTTCTAGGGAGAGAGCAAGAGAAAGAAAAAAAATGATATCTCTGACCATCTTCAGAGTCCTTTCTAAAGAGAAGCATCCCACAGGAAAGACCCGGATGTCAAACTTATCCAGCGCAGAGGGCTACATGTGTTGCTGAGCCAGTCTGCGAGCTGGACTGGGACTGACCCTTTGTGCAGAGCTCCTGGAGCTGGGCCCAAGCTGTGCGCTATGCATAGCACATGCCAGCCAGTGTGGAGTCCAGCCCAGGTGCCACGGACAGTTGGTGTCCCATGCCATGGACAGCCTGGGACCACCACGTGGGGCCAGCTCAGAGGGTCAAGGCCCTAATCCTAACCCATAGGCCAGGTCTGGCCTGCGGGCCTACGTTCAACACCCCTGCTTTAGACAAATGTAGGTCCTGATGCCTTCCATCATCTGTGAAGGAATAGATGCACGTGCTTGATCACTGTCTCTCTCTTTCCATCCAGGGACATACCTGTTAGCCTCCCTTCAAAGTGAAGAGCAAATTGTGATGCTCTGTGATTGTTTTAACTGCCAATACAGGATGGGGGAGTGTCAGGTTTCCCCACAGGCTCTGGCAGAAGTAACTGCTTTCATCCCCAGAGGGGACATCACCAGCAGCAGCAACAGCCACTGCCTTCCTTATTCCCTTTTCAAGGAGCGCCCTTGAGGGCTTGGGGGGTGCCATTCTTGGCTGAGTCTTAACCATGAGGTTAAGAGGACACTCTTTACAAACAAGCAACAAAACACACACTTGTATCCCCTCATGCCATGCAAAGTAATAGTTTAACAAAAGACTCAGGCAGTAGCCTGACAGAAGGCTGGCTTCCCGTCCCACAGAGACAGGACATGATCCAGGGTCATCAGTATAATAAGCCAGTGTGCTCAGAGTAAAATGCAAGCTCCAACCTTTCTTGCAGGGCTAACAAACCTTAAACTGGTGCAAGGTACACTATCTTTTAAGAAAGATGAGAGCTTTTTTTTTTTTAGAAGCCCATTACAGGTAGTTAGAGTTTGAGGTTGATGAATCAGCACAGAAGGGATTTCTGCCTCGGGGAGGATCCCCACCACACACACGCGCATCTCTCACTTGTCTGCAACACCACTTCCTCATCTGGATCAAAATCAAATGACAGTTACAAAACCGACATGTTGACACCCCTTGGAGCTGTGGTTTGAGCCAGTATAGGATTGTGAACGATGGCTCAAAACCTGGCACTTAAGCTAGTGAGATGGGCACACAAACCTTTACACCTGGACATTGTTACATGCAGGAAATATACAATTTATGTGTACAAAATGGGTTATAGGCCACTCCCATATCCCAAATACATTGTGCCTTCTATGCTTCCCTGGGTTGCATACTAGCCCTTATCTTATTACTGCACCATTCACCCCCCCAACCACTCCTGATTCTGAGAAATTACAACACGCTCATAAAGCCTGTAGAGCCCACAGACCAAAAGCATCGCTCTTTGACTTAGCTCATCTCCAAATGTTAACTAATTAAAGAAAGTAAAAGTAAAATATATTATCATACAGTACAACCAAAGTATACATTTTTCCCTGCTAAATGTACTTACGGAGGAAACTACACTATGAGAATTTCACCTGCATGCGTGAAACCTGTTTGGGAGGAGTGCTTTGCCCTGTTGTTCCATTTGTACTGTACTAAGGCCTGCTGCCATATTAGTTGAAAGCCATCTCATCCTCCAGCTCTCATGAAACCAGTAGCTTTTTCACATGTGGTAGAATAGGTAGCTTGAGACAAAGAGAGGATCAGACTAAGTTGATCTACTGAGATTCAGCCCTATCATTGACAGAGATGTTGGCATATAAATATTACACAAGCACAGCATAAAAAGTGGCTGAGATGCAGGCACAGCCCATCCACCTCTCTCAGTGCCCTAAGGGAGCGACTCAGGCACAGCATGCAAATAAGCCTCCCATGGCTTGTCTATGCTAACTGTCCTGGGTTTGTCCAGGTTTTCTGAGGTATGGGGACCTACTGAAATCAGGGCGGCTGCCATTTGATTTCACAGTCCAAGCATAGTGCTCAACACCATTTTTGCAATGGAGCATGGTGCCCCCTCCCCCCCATGCCTATGATTGGCCAAGGGCTCCTGGAAGTCCCACCCCTCCCTAGAGATTGACAGGTGACCAGAGCTTGCTAATGTGTCAATTAATGGCTTCCACAGGCTTAACCCTTTGCTCAAGCCCCCAGAAGCCATTAACTGCATCCTAGACAGCTTAATAATGTGTCAGTTAATAGCTTCCATGGGCTTGAT